CCCCCCCCCCCCCCTCTCTCTCTCTTTCTCTTTTGCTCCGGTTGCGAAGGGTCCCAAGGAGGTTCGCGCACCTCGCAGCAGCACCGGCAGCAGCAGCAGCAGCAGCAGCAGCAGCAGCAGCAGCAGCAAGGAGCGCGCTTGAGCAAAGACGGAGGGGAGGAGGGAGAGTGCGAGGATGAGGAATGGGTGGAGCCTTCGATGGCTGTCGGCGAGGCATCCGTTCGGGAGGGGATTACGGTTGAGGTAAGTTTTTTTTTTTGGGGGGGTACTCATAGCCGTGCATGCCGTAGTCGTCAGAGCATTGACCTCGGTGAGCCCGTGTATGAAGGGAGGGAGGGGATGCACTCATAGCCGTGTGTGCAGTTGATAAGACCATCGACCTCGATGCGCCTATGTGTGAAGGGGGGAAAGCAGGAGGAGGGGATGCACTCATAGCCGTGTGAGCAATTGTTAGACCATTGACGTCGATGAGCCGATGTTTGAAGGGGAGGGAAACAGGAGGAGGGCGTGCTCATAGTCGTGCATGCCGTAGTTAGGTCATTGACCTCTTATCCCTACAAAGCCGGGACGGAGCGATAGGTTGTTTTTCCGCCCTCCCAGGTTCTCGCATCACAAAGCGAAAAGCCCCGCGAGGTATTCGGAGGGGGGGGGCTGTGACCGTGATATGTGTGTGTGTGAAACCCTGTGGCTTATGAAAGTTTCTCTCATCGTGCCGCTTCTTCCAACAGCTGCCACCCGCGTGTGCGCAGCAACGAACCCGTTCGCGTATGTTGTTGTTGCTGTCGAGAGAATCGTTTGGCCGAAACTCCTGGCGGTGTTCCGCTCAAGATTGAAATTTTCAGGGTGAGACCCTAGTTCGCACAGTTTTCTCTAACCGGAAGAAAGATATCCGCTCACGACCCTTGGTGCTGCCGCTGGTCGCGGTTTGCGGTGCGTAAGTAAAGTTCCTAAGCTCAACCGAAATATTCGCAGTGTACCGTAGGACCAACCGGTTACACGACGCCCCCCCCCCC